GTTACAACAACTTTATTGGGTCTCAACCTGGAGACGAACAGAAGAAAAAACAACTTCACAGATTTCAACACCGTTAGAAAAAAAAGTTGGGGGAAAAAAAAAACAACAGTGAGAAAAAAGTTGTTTACATCTGATTGTCGACATGACCTCTGACCTTTGATTAGTGCTGTTAGCAAAGATCAGTACCACTGAGAGAGATAAATAAAATAAATAAAGCAATGTCACAGTGAGTTAGATATATACAGTCCTGATCTCTGATTCTTACCCACTAGAGGGCGTTTTAACGTTGACATTTGGCCTTCACTTGTTAACGTGATCAGTCACTGAAATCTGATCCTGAAGTGTTAGACTTGAAATCATCTTTGACATGCACGACTAGAAAAGAAAATCACAACAACACTGAGCAGTGGAATCTACAAACACCGCACTGTGAATATGTAAATAAAAAATAACAATAAAAACAATCTGTAAAAAACATCAGAAATACAGTATGTGTAGAGTGTAAATCTGTTCAGTTTCATCCTGACCTCAGAGAATCATCAGTGAACAAACGCAGAACTCTACGAAACCCAGTGGTTCTTTAGGAAAGTGTGATATAAACATAAACACAAACACCGTCACCGTCTGTAGTCCAGAAAATTAGGAACACTTTCAAAAATGCACGAAAAAATAGAATCTGGATTTTGGTCATTTAATCTAACAGTTATTCACACACGGAGCCCCTGATGGAACATGGGAAAAAAAATTCTGCTGCTCTCCTGAAACTTTTCATCAGACAAAGGACAAAAATATTATTTAATTATTTTATAGACAAACGATGGAGTGAGGTTCTGAACAACAACAATTTTATTTATTTATTTTTATCAAAAGGAGTCTGGAGTACTGCAGTACACACTGCTGATACCAGCAAATCACTTTAAAAAAGCAGTGTATTATTTTAAATGTTTACAAACCAAATAAATTAATAAATCTGATGATTAAAAAATATAATAAAAACATGACAACCTCTATATAAATTAAAATATTATTTGATTGGCCAGAGAAAATTCAGGATTCAATTTTTGTCCTTTTTGTCTGATATTTTTTAAACTAGATTTATTTTTAATGCATTTTTGAAAGTGAGGTCTGAATCGCTCCGTTCTGAGACGAATCAGAAAGAACGTCAGCTGAACCCAGAGAAACAGGAACGTTTACCTGCAGCCAAGTCCGACATGTGTGAGCAGCCATGGAGAAAACAGAACCAGAACCAGAGTTCTCTACAGTCTCTCTGCTGTAGTGTGGACACTTGGACATCTGTAAGTATTTAGAAAATGTTAACAGTCCTCAGACTTACTGCGGTGAGAAAACAAGCCTCAACATTTCTGACAGATTGTAACTGTAACAGTTCCAGGTTCCTTGTGTCTCTCTGTCCTCCTGTGACCACCCCATCACCCCCCCCCCACCACAGTCATAACCTCACCTGTCTTAACTCCTCCCTCTTCTCTCTGTCCCTGACCTTTGACCTCACTCAGTGTTTTCTGGATATTTTCTGGTCTCTCTGCCGCCACCTGTCTTTGAGATCATTAAAGAACATGTCTGACTGTTACAACACCTCAGTACCAGGTGTACTCATTTGCATATACAGTAGTACGTGTGTGTATGCCTTTGTTGATGTTTGCTGATAAATATTTTACAATAAAACACAGGGAGAATAAAATACAGTAGTAAAATGCACACACACACACACACACACACACAGACAGTCTGATAACTGTTCGTCTTCACGATCACATCGCTGATCATTTTCAGGTCCTGTGTTCCTGATATAAGGGCAGCTCCACCCTGTCCTTCAGGAGGGGCGGGGGTCCAGGGAGGGTCGTCTGGGTTTACAGGAGTGAACTGGCAGGGCTGCCTGGCAGAGGTGGGCTGTGGCCGTGGGAATAGCTCTGTCGTATGGGCACCAGGTCGTAGTGACTGGGTATGTGGCTGTTCCTCGGCAAGTCGTACGGATTCTGAGAACAACAGGGAGGAGACATGGCTGCCGCTGGTCCGTGGACCACAGTCAGGGTGGGCTCTGGGGGAGAGTGGGAGAGAGACTATGTTAGCAGAAAAAGCAAAAAAAAAAAAACTCAATAAAGTCAGAATTCTGCTAAATTTTGATTTTCTGAACAAAGAAACTGTTACTAGAAGAATGTTTGGATTTCTGATAAAGTACCAGAGGAACATCCACCAAAAGTTCTGCTTCACCACCTTGAGTCTTCTGTGGTCAATATGATTCAGTGGGTTCTGGTACACCTGGTACTTTGTAACTGAAGTGAGTGTGTGCTGAATGTTACCAATGTCGTAGACGTTCTTGACAGGAGCCGAGCTGGAGCTGGGGCTGGAGCTGGTGGTGGTGACGACAGCAGCCGTGGAACAGCAGTGAGTCACGTGCTGGTGTCGGGCCGGTGACTTCATCTCCACGTAGCTGCTCTCCGGGTGTTTGCTCAGAGCGGCCGCCTCAGTGATGGTGGCGTACGGGTTCTCACTGTTCAGGGAGCAAGTGCTGGACAGAGAGCCCTTCATGTAGTCTAGAGAGACGGAGACACGGGTGGATCAGAACCTCCATCACTCTACAGTCTGGACCACATCACACTGTCACTCATCAACAACTTTAGTCAACTCTCTGAATGGCACGTAGTAAAAACAAATTGTATGGACACTCTGGACAATCTGCAAAAAGTCATTTCTAACCAATGAAGGACTATTGATGACCTCATCATTTATATTATTATTATTGATCATCTATTTTTAAAAGTTGAAAGTGAATCACTCGTCATTGTGACACAGCTTTTAACCCATCACCACAGTCAGCAAGGGGCTGCGATTGTCTACTTGGTAATGCCGACCAATCAGAATGCTCTGTGGAAACCATCATTTAGCAGAAGCTAAAGCCAGCACTTTACACAAACCGTGTATTATATTTAGATGTTTATAAAATACTATTGAATTTTTATTAAGATTCTGTGAAAAATAAACAACAACAGACTCGTCCTGTAGGAAACAAAGATGTTAGAATAAATGTCAGGTCAAAGGTGAATCAGCACAGGAAGTGAAGTTGAGGAGAAAAAGAAGTGTTTGTCATTCAGGAACAGGAGCAGGAAAACACAAGGCCTGTGTATAAATATTCAAAACAACAATAAATGAGTGATCTCAAAGTCAAGGATCATCAAATTACCCAGAATACCTGCAAACATCACCCACTCATGTAATTCCACTGCTGTTCTCATTGAACAGAGAAAATAAAATTACAAATCATTGACATTTACCCACTGTGGCAAAAATAACAAAATATTTAAATTAATTTGACTTAATGCACCCACTAAGGGCCCCGCCCCCCACTTTGGGAACCACTACCCTAATGCATCCCTTGAATTCTACTGTTCTCTGTTTTAGTCACCTGAACATGAACCCTCCTATTATGGTAGGACATTAGTGAGGAGACATTTCTAGGATCTTTGACTTTGAGTGTAGCAAACAGGAAGTGATTCGAGGGAGTGACAACAGCAGTCAGTTAAAGTGCAGGAGTGTGTGAGGAGAGGAGTGTGTTCATCCTGCGGAGCCACAAACACAGCTGTCAGTTCAGACCCATCAAACAGGTGAAAGGACAGGAAATGCAACGTTAACACAGGTCAGGGTCAGAGGTGAAAGGTCAGTCTACCTCTGCAGCATGGCTCCACGTGGACGCTGTAGCGACGATCGAGGTAGTATAAACCTGCACAGTAAATACAAGGCTGTTAAGACCTAAATTTAATTTATCATACGACACGCTAACTGCTAACTACGGAACCGCTATTAGCATATGGGCGTGTCCTAATGAGCCAGTGTTGAAAACCAAATGGCCCGGCCCATTTCTTATAGACGACGACGCAGCACTGACCCAGCTGACCCAGGTTGGAGTAGGTTCCCCACTCTGGAGCACTGTTCCTGTGTCGATTCTTCATCTTTGTCTGAAAAACACACAGAAGTTTCTGATAAAATATCATTAACATCTGAGAAGACACTTCAGACACTTCAGAGACATGAGGTCACCAGAACGGTGACCTATGACCTCTATGTCTAAGAGCACCCACGAAACTGGACTCATTTATTATTTTCTTCTTCGTGCTTCAGGGTAAACCTGGGGACAAACATTCACTTTTCTACTGTTAGCGAGTTCTACTGGATCT